CTACCACTTGAGCCACAGCACCACTTCCGGCTTTTTTCTTTTTGCTTATGTGGTGCTGAGGAATCGAACCCAGGGCCTTGAGCATGCAAGGCAAGCGCTCTACCACTGAGCCACCTTCCCAGCCCTCTAGTTAAGCTTTTTAACTTAAGGTGCTCTACAACTTGAGCTACATCTCCATTTCCAGCTTTTTTCTGGTCAAGTGGAAATAAGAGTCACTCATATTTGTCTCCCTGTGCTGGCTTTAAACTATGATCCTCAGATCTCAGCTTCCTTAGTATCTAGGATTATAGACAGGAGCCATCAGATTTGTGTTGCTGTTAGTTCTTAGGTACATGCCTATTTTCTGATTCAAGCTGGGCTCCATTGGCTCACGCCTGTAATCCTTGCTGACTCAGGAGGCTGAGATCTAAGGATATTTTGGTTTGAAACCAGTCTGGGCAGGAAAGTCTATGAGACTCTTTCTAAACTCTAACCAAAAACTTCTAATTCTTATAGATTCTGTATAGAATAGCCAAATGTGAATAAATGTATTAAGAAAATAGAATGCCTTTTTTTTTAATTAAATGATATGGTCTCCCAAAAATCTTCAGGCTTTTATTTAAAATTTGATCATATCTTGGAAACTATAAACAGCTCAGTAGTAGAGCACTTGCCTAGTCTACATAGGACCCCAGGTTGGATCCTCAGCACTGGAAAACAGAAAGGCTTTCTTGTAGTGAAAAACTTCATTTGTTGCAGGGTGCTGATGGCTCATGCCTATAATCCTAGCTACTCAGGAAGCTGAGATATGAGAATTCCAGTTTAAAAGCCAACCCCAGCAGGGAAGTCTGTGAGACTCTTATCTCCAATTAACCACTCAGAAAACCGGTAGTGGCGCTGTGACTCAAGTGGTAGAGTGCTAGATTTGAGCTGACAAGCTTAGAAACAGCGCCCAGGCCCAGAGTTCAAGCCCCACCACTGACAAAAAAAAAATTTGTTCTAGTAAACAAACTACATTTGTTTTAAAGCATTCTCTGGAGAAGATAATACACTGCTTAAGCTTTTTAGTTTAAAAAAGTTTGTATTTTTATAGGAAAGGACACAGTTACCAAAGATAATGGCATTCGACCTTCCTCACTGGAACAGATGGCCAAACTAAAGCCTGCATTCATCAAGCCCTATGGCACAGTAACAGCTGCAAATTCTTCTTTCCTGGTAACCATCTGTGCTGTTTGTGTTTGTAGGGAACTACCTCTAGCCTTGTTTTGGTTGTTTATTTGTTTTTGAGACAAAAAAATCTCACATGGAAGTCCAGACTGGCCTCACAACTCTGATCCACTTCCTTTAGCCTCCTGGGTAACTGGCATTACAAGTGTGTGCCTCCATGCCTAGACATATTATTAAGTAACATTATTAGTATCCTGAAAATAACTTTATTATGAATCATCACCTGCTTTCGCATACTTTATCACCATACTATTATATACTATCATACCATATGTTTCTTTCAGGGTTGCTGACTTACAAAAGCATTATAGACTGTTATAGAACTATATTCTGGTTTTGCAGTGTGTAGAGTAATTACTTTTCTTTTTGATTGTGAATTTTGGTGTTAGCAACTCTTTTCTTTTGAAGCAGTTGTACCTCTTTCTCCCCTACTTCTTGTCTTTTAGAATTGCAGGTTTGGGGTATAGTCCAAAGAAGTAAAACTGTGATTTTTTTTTTAATGTTTTCATCAGCCCACCCAATCTTCTTCCGTTGGTTGGCCTGTTACAAGAAATCACCCAGAAGCCATGGGTAGGAAGCAGCGGAGAAACAGCACAGAAAATGTAAAGATAAAGAAGTGAAATAGATGTTTTTTAGAAATTCAGAAAATTTTTAATTTTCTGTGTCAGGCAAAAACCTTTGTCTTAAGTTAATTATGGGTACTTTTTTTTTTCTTTTTTCTCTCTGTCTTTTTTTTTTTTTCCAGTCATGGTGCTTGCACACGGCCTCAGTGCTGTCTCTTAGCTTTTTCAGCTGAAGGCTAGCATTCTAGAACACTTTGAGCCACAGTGCCACTTCCAGTTTTTGAGTGGCTAATTGGAGAAGAGAGTCCCCAGGGAACTTTTCTGCCCAGGCTATTTTTGAACCTCCATTCTCATATCTCATCCTCCTGAGTAGCTAGGATTACAGGTGTGAGCTACCTCTTCCTCCATTATGAAAATTATACTTTTTGAACATTTTCTTCTAACTTTCTCCTCTATGAATGGGTCACTATATATGTTTGGATTGTGACTTAATGATGGATAAATTAAGTAGGTTTGTTGGAAGAATCTCTTAAGTACTTGGAAGATGGTTGTCAAGAGCAGAAAGCCACAAGAAACACTAACATTTTTTTTTTCTGGTTAATTTCAGACTGATGGTGCTTCTGCAATGCTTATTATGGCAGAGGACAAAGCTCTGGCCCTGGGTTATAAGCCAAAAGCATATTTGAGGTAAAGTAAATGCTCCAGTGGAATGTCTCTGATTTCATTATTTTATTACTGAGGCTAATCCCCCTCTGTTCTTTATCTAGGGACTTTGTGTATGTATCTCAGGATCCAAAAGATCAGCTATTACTCGGGTAGGTGGCAGTGTATATCCCTGGGCTTTCATCCAAAGCACTTGCGGTATTTATTTCACAGACTTTAAAGGATGTAAAATCCTAAATTCCTAATTCATGTGTCGGGTTTTTTTTCTCTTTCTTTTTTTTTTCTTTTTGTCAGATGTGGGACTTGAACTCAGGGCCTGGGTTCAGTCCCTGAGCTCTTTTGCTCAAGGCTAGCGCTCTACCAGTTTGAGCCACAGTTCCACTTTGAAGATAAGAGTCTCACAGACTTTCCTGTCCAGGCTGGCTTTCAACCTTGATTCTCAAATCTCCTGAGTAGCTAGAATTACACTTGTGAGCCATCAGCACCTGGCTCGTGGGATATTTGTTTGTTTGTTTTTTAATAATATCCTTTTAGGGGAAATTTTTTTTCCATTTTTCCCTTCCCATATTTCCTTTTTCCATTTTTGGTTCTGTTGTTTTTTTTTTTCTTCTTCTTCTTCCCCATCACAGACCAGGACTTGAACTCCCTGTCTTTTACACTCATTGGCAGACACCCTACCATCTGAGCCAAGGCTCCAAGCTCCTCCTTGTACCTTCTTTATTCACTTGTTATATGCATATAACTTTATTCTTTTTTGTTACAATATAAAGCATTTCTTTTCATATTGCTATACACTCTGTTGTAATCTTTGTTTTTCCTTTCCTTTTTTGTGTGCTGGGGCTTGAACCCAAGGCCTCACTTATGTGAACAAGTGCTATACACTGATCACATCCCCAGCCCACCCCATCTTCTTTAATAGCCTTTCATAAAAGCCTCTTGATACTGTGACAGTTTCTCTCCCCAACAGGGTGCTAGCCTCACTGGCTTCCATTATGATCTTGAGACTAGCCAAGCCCTTTCCCAAACGTTACCCATTTATTCTTTTTCTGTTTATATTAACTTTCATCATTTGCTTTATTATCTATTTCCTTAACTCTCCAGTATAAATTTAATGAGGACATGTCGTTCAGTTCATATTATATATCCAACACTTAACCAATACTTGTGTAGTTGAGTGTTGAGTAAGTTGAGGTTTTGGGGTTTTTTTTTGGGGGGGGCAGGTGTCAGTCATGGGACTTGAACTCTATTGTCCCTGAGCTCTTAAGCTCAAGGCTAGCATGCTGCACTTGCACCACAGTGCCAATTCCAGCCTTTTTTACTGTTTATGTGGTGCTGAGGAATCGAACCCAGGGCCTCATGCATGCGAGGCAAGCACTCTACCACTGAGCCACCTTCCCAGCCCCGAGTAAGTTGAGTTTGAAGGAACTTATAGGCTAAAAATGAAAGTTTAGTTGGGTATAGTGGTGCATGCCTATAATCACAATGCTGGGAAGGCTAAGATGGGGATCACAAGTATAATAATAAAATTTTAAGACACTCCTTTTCTTTTTCAGACCAACATATGCTACTCCAAAAGTTCTAGAAAAGGCAGGATTAACCATGAATGATATCGATGCATTTGAATTTCATGAAGCCTTCTCAGTAAGTCATCTGAAGGGATTATACACTTTAAAAATATACTCCATGTTTGTGGGGAGTGGGGGTTTGTATTTTAAGTACTAAACTACATTATGAGCAGTGTTAGAGACTGAAGAGCTACCTATGGTGTTAAAAGCGTCTGTTTGGAATAGAGTATAAACATTTGGAGATGTAACAATGAGTACTTCCTCTCCCCTCCCCCTCCCCATATAACTAATGTAATGCAATAAAAGTTGTTTTTACAAATTTAAATGAACAGGGCTGGGAAGGTGGCTCAGTGGTAGAGCGCTTGCCTTGCACACCTGAGGCCCTGGGTTCAATTCCTCAGGACCACATAAGCAAAAAGAAAAAAGCCGGAAGTGGCACTGTGGCTCAAATGGTAAAGCACTAGTCTTGAGCTGAAGAGCTGAAGGACAGCGCCCAGGCCCAGGGTTTAGGCCCCACGACTGGACCAAAAAAAAAAAAAAATTTAAATGAACAAATGAATTAATTAAAAATATCTTTTGAGGATGACTTTTAGAGATCCCTCAGAAGTACTTTAGTACTTTTAGGAAATTTTCATTAAAAACTGACTTAAAGATTTGTCTAACCAACTGGGCGCCAGTGGCTCATGCCTGTAATCCTAGCTACTAAGGAGGCTCAGATTTGAGAATCATGGTTCAAAGCCAGCCCAGGCAGGAAAGTCTGTGAGACTCTTACCTCCAATTAACCACCAGAAAACTGGAATTCACACTGTGGCTCAAGTGGTAGAGCGCTAGTCTTGAGCTGAAGAACTGAGGAACAGTGCTCAGGCCCAGAGTTCAAGCCCCACGGCAGATTTGTCTAACCAGACTACACCTAAAAGAAAGCCTAGAAGATCATTAGTAATGGTCTTTCTTGAATTATTTTCTTCTAGGGTCAGATTTTGGCAAATTTTAAAGCCATGGATTCTGACTGGTTTGCACAAAACTACATGGGCAGGAAAACCAAGGTAAGTTCTAATTTTAAAAAATGTACTTGATGGGGCTGGGAAAGTGGCTCAGTGGTAGAGTGCTTGCCTTACATGCATGAGGCGCTGGGTTCGATTCCTCAGCACCACATAAGCAGAAAAAGCTGGAAGTGGCGCTTTGGCTCAAGTGGTAGGGTGCTAGCCTTGAGCTGAAGAGCTGAGGGACAGTGCTGAGGCCCAGAGTTCAGGCCCTATGACTGACAAAAAAAAAAATGTACTTGAATTTCCAAAGCATGTTAATTCTTCAAGCTTAGCTAGCTACTAATACAGAGTATGAAGGGGGCCGGGCAGTGGTGACTATATCTATAATCCAAACTTCTCAGGAGGCTGAGATCTAAGAATCCCAGTTCAAAGCCAGCTTGGGCAGGGGAAGTCCCTGAGATTCTTTAAACACCAGAAAAGCAGAAGTGGAGCAGTGGCTCAAAGTGGTAGAATGCTAGCCTGGAGCGAAAGAACTCAGGGACAGTGAACTCAGTGAGTTCAAGCCCTGTGACCAACAAAAATTTTAAAAAAAGAATATGAAGGGGAAAGCGTCTTCTTATGAAGAATTTTATATCTCATTAAATATATTTCTTTCTTTCTTTTGGTCAGTTGTGGGCTTTGAATTCAGAGCCTTGCCACTGTCCCTGAGCAAAGCCCAAGGCTACCACTTTGAGCCACCAGTGTCCAGCTATTTTTTAAAGTCTAGTTAAACCTAGACTCTGCTTTGCAGTAAACTTATGTATGATGTGTCTAAGATTAGTTTTTTCCCTTCTGTATCTTTTACTTCCTGGACTAAGAGTCTACCTGCTTCCTATGATATGTAACTTGTCTTTACATTTCATCTTTACTTTTGTGGGAACCAGGTTGGCTTGCTTCCTATGGAGAAGTTTAATATCTGGGGTGGATCGCTGTCTCTGGGTCACCCATTTGGAGCCACTGGCTGCCGGTTGGTCATGGCAGCTGCCAACAGATTACGGAAGAATGGAGGCCAATATGGCTTAGTGGCTGCCTGCGCGGCTGGAGGGCAGGTATGTTTGTTAGTTGTCTTTACGATATTCTTTTTTTTTTTTTTTTGTGCCAGTCCTGGAGCTTGAACTTGGGATCTGGGTGCTTCTTTTGCTCAGGGATAGCACTCTCCCACTTGAGCCACAGTACTACTTCTGGCTTTTTCTATTTATGTGGTACTGAGGAATCGAACCCAGGGCTTCATGCATACAAGACAAGCACTGTACCATAAAGCCACATCCCCCTTTAAGGTATTCTTAAACCAATATTTTTGATGACAGACAGAAAAAAAAAAGGCAGCTTATTTTGTGGGAGTATAGCAATTTTATTTATTTATTTATTTATTTTTTTGCCGGTCATGGAGCCTGAACTCTGGGTCTGAGCACTGTCCCTCAGCTTTTCAGCTCAAGGCTAGCGCTCTACCACTGGAGCCACAGTGCCACTTCCGGCTTTTTCTGTTTATGTGGTGCTGAGGAATCGAACCCAGGACCTCATGCTTGCAAGGCATGCATTCTACCGCTGAGCTACCTTCTCAGCCCCAAGTATAGCAATTTTAATTCTGATAGTATCTGAAAGGAAGATTTGAAATCTATTTAGATCCAAGCTATTTTTTTCCTAAAATAATGTTAACATTTTTTGTTTATAAAATGAGTTAGAAGCCAAGCACTAGTGGCTCATGCCTATAATTGTAGCTACTCTGGAGGCTGAGATACGAGGATTTTCATTGGAAGCCAGTCTGGGCAGGAAAGTCCTTGAGACCCTTTACCTCCAATTAAACACCAAAAAAAAAAAAAA